TGGGTAGAAGGGTGAGGGGACAGGCCAGAGGTCTGGGGGGGGTGGGGGTGTTTAGGGGGGTGAGGAGACTCACCAGAGACAGAGTGGGGGGCAGAACAGGCAGATGGACTGAAACACACCGCTGAGGTCTGTGTCCCTGGGCGTCCCCCCGGCCGGGGATGGGCCCAGGCTGTGGCAGCGAGAGCATGATAGCGACAGACTTCGTCCTCCCGAGGCGCCAGGAGGCCCTCTGGGCTTTCTGCTGGCGGAGCTGTGTGGCCGTCCTGTCACTTTCCGCGTGTCTGTGAGACTTACCCATTTGGCGTGACGGTCTTTCCGCCGTACAGATAAACCATTCCTTGGCTCATTTTTCTTTCATGGAAGTCGTTCTCGTCCTACCAGGTAGAGGATTCAAAATGTGCTGTGATAGAAACTCAAAGGAATGGAAGAAGGTGCAGAAAAGAAATCTCAGTGCTGCAGGAGAACGCTGAGAAGCTAATCAAGGAGATCTAACGAGAGTCGGGAAAACGTGACTGTCAGGCGGAATGGACCTGATGAACAGACAACATGAAGAGGGAAGTGAGAAAATACGGGAACCGCAGGATATAAAATGATCAGCGGGGCCGTGGGGGTCTACAGAGAGCTCTGGGGGCAGAGTGGACTCACTGGAGGACGGAGCCGGTGACCTGCGACCTGGGCGGAGAGAGAAGAGAGCGGAGGGCGGCTCCGGCCTGCTTCCTTGCGGACAGGTACATTCCGTGGCCCGTCAGTCACAGCAGAAAAGGGGGTACAGCCCGAAGTCCCTGGCCTCTTCCTGACAGCTGGAGACGGCGGCTCTGCCCGCCCTGCCCATAGCCTTGGGGCTGAGACTCCGGGGCTGTCTCGCGTGTGTACAGGTGACTCCTACCCCCCCCCCCCCCCAGCCTCGCACCATAGCAATCCGGGGCACACTGAGCATTGTCTGGTAGATAAGGCACTGCCGAGCACCCTGCCTTTCGGTTCATGGTGTTCGGTTCTGTAGGTGCGTGGCCTGGGGGCCCAGATGGTGTCCGGGGCCCCCTCGCCGAGACCCCGTCTGAGGAGGCAGCCGCGTTGTCTTTCTGGTGAGGGCCCAGGGGCAGAGGCAGCCGTGTGGAGAACAATGCAGGGTCGCGGCTGAATGGCTGAGACTCGGCGGCCCAAGTCAAGCAACAGAGAAAAGCTTATTATTGTGGATGTTATTAGAGTCGTGCATGCATCGAGCACAATCCAGGCTTGATAAGCTCCTTTTCACTGCACAAAATGAGCAGACGCAAGGCCCAGCACCCCATTCTTGGGTTTCTGTGGCCTCTGAGGGATCTTTATTCCTCTCTTCTGGGCATTGAAGGTCTGACGGCGGCCGGCTGTGGGCGTGGGGGGTGAGCCTCCGCGTGTTCTGCTCCCCTGGGGGATGGGATGGGGGCACTCGCTCCTGGTCCTGCAGGTGCCACACAGTAAAGGCAGGAGGAGATGGACTTGGCTTGTCCTGCCTGCGGAGGCTTCCGGAATGACTGTCCCACAGAGCCATCGCCAGGCCCTGGCTCCTGTTCACGGGGGACGGAGCTGGGGCGCGTGGAGGAAGGTTTCAAGGAGAGGGCACCCAGCCCTGAATTTGTCTTTTCTAAAAATACTATTTATTTATGTACAGAAGAACTGGGGTGTAGGCTTAAGGTGCAGGGGTGAGAGGGCTCCCCAGAGACAGTGGGAGCAGAACGGGCGGATCCACTGAGACCCACTGCTGGGGGGGGAGCGGGGAGGCAGGAGGGGCCTGCTGCGCCCCGGGGCCCCTCCCTGGCTGGGGTGGAGCCCACGCGGCTGCGGTGAGGTGGCAGCGGACATTAGCCCTAGAGCACGCTGGGGACGGCTAACGCTCACCTGGGACGCGGCTCCGCCTGCCCCTCCCGTGCCCGCCGTCCTGTGGGCCGGGGCGTGGGAGCCCTGTGCTTTCAGCCCTGGGGACGGCGGGCTTTCCCGGACCACTTGACTTCTGTGCCCACGCGCCGCACCACGGAGCCGCTGCGTGTCTCGCTCTGCCCGGGTGTTGGGGGCTGGGGGCGCCGGGGGCGGCCCGCTCCAGGCCCGCGCAAGACGTGGGCACACGCCCGGGCATCGCTGCTGCCTGCTTCGCTTTCTGAGTTCCTTTTCGTTCTCTCCCCGGCCCGTGCATCACTTGTTGTGGCTTTATGGTGTCGCGTGTAGGGGCTCCCCAGGCCCGGGCACCCCTCGGGCACGCAGGGGACTCACTGAATGTCGCCGGGCACAGGCAGACGTTGGCTTGCCAGCGCCGGTCTGTGCGGTGTCTGGCACCTTCCGGCCTGCCCTTCACCGACCTTGCCGGGAGCTGGCCCAGCTCTCCCCAGCCCGTGGGCTGGCAGCCCCAGGGCGGAGGCTTCCCTGGGGGGCGCGGCATTCCACAATAATGCAGCATTCTCACAAGAACATAACGGTAGCTTCAGCCCAAGGAGAAGCCAGAGGCGCAGGGCACACAGCCGGAGCTTCGCCCGGGAGCTGCCTCTGTGTCGCAGCGGGAGTCTCCTCGGCACCGTGGGGTCCACTCCCCATCGAGACTGGTCCACGGCCAGAAAAGCCCTGACTGAGAGATCGCCCGATGTATTGTTGCCTCTGGCTTTCCGCTTTAGAATTCCTTCCGGCCTGCAGGTGTTTCTCCTGAAAGTTGATGTCCTCCTCCGGAGCTGACGGGTCCTGGATGAAATCCGCCCCCACAGCCAGGCTGCGAGCCCAGGGGAAGAACTCCCGGTCGTGAGTGGCTCGCCGTCGCGGGAGCAGGCCGGCTGGGGCTCGGCCTCCCTGGGCGTGTCCGCGCCTCCTGGCCAGTGACAGCACCTGCACGGTCAGGCGACCGCTCCCGGCCACGTGACAGGACGCAGGAGCTGACGTCGACGCACAGCGTGGTCACCCGTCGGCCTGGAGCCCCGGGAAGGGCCCCTTGCCCAGCCGGGAGCCAGCGCCTCCCCTGGCCTCCCCTGGAGCAGGGAGACCTGTGATCCTGAGACCAGCACCTAGCCCTGCACACCTCGAGGAACAGGTTCTGTGAGGGGCCACATGCTGGCCGCAGCCGGCCCACGCAGGCCTGGCCAGCTGGCACAGCCAGGGTCAGCGCGGACACGCCTGGCCGTGGCGTCATCTGCTGAGGGGGACAGGAACCAGTGGGAGGACGTTGTGGCGATTCAGACCGGGGTGGTGGCAGCAGGAGGCCAGACTTCCACAACCACTGGCTGCGTCTCTTGAGCGCTCCTGGGACATGGACGGAAGGGGCCAGAGATGGGAGGGCCAGAGATGGGAGGTGGCCAGAGATGGGAGGGCCTTGGGACATGGACGGAAGGGGAAGAGGCGGCCAGAGTCGGGAGGGCCTTGCTCCCAAACCGGTCAGGGTGAGGGGGACAGCAGAGGGTGGCTAATGTCGCTCCAGGCCTGGCTGCGAAACACCTTCAATGAAGTACTCACAACCGGAGCCCAGCTTACACACACACACACACACACACACACACACACAACTATGCGTACACATTACACATGTACACACATAACAGGCCTGTGCATGATTTCTGTCAAGTATTATTCAGTTTAAAAATGTAAAGATAGTGGCAGACCCCTCCTGACCGCCCGCTGCTCCCCGCAGCCGTGGACTTCATCTGTCGGCCTGTCCTGCTCCCCACTCTGTCTCCGGTGAGTCCCCTCACGGCACCTGCACCTGTGGCCTGTACCCCAGTTCTGTGAGCATAAAAAAAAACAACAGGGAATCTCTGTAGCTGCTCTTGATCAAGCTTCTCAGCAGTGCAGAGTACAGCTTATTTTTTAAAAAAGATTTATTATTTATGCATATAGAGCTGGGGTACAGGCCAGAGATGTGGAGGGTGAGAGGCTTCACCAGAGACAGAGCGGGGAGCAGAACAGGCAGATAGATGAAATCCACCGCTGAGGGGGCAGCGGGCAGGCCAGGGAGGTCTGTGCGCCCTGTGGGTCAGCTCCAGCGGGGATCAAACTCGCCCTGAAGCGGCTGCAGGCAACGTGCAGGGCCGCGTCCTCACCCGCTGGCCACCAGGGAGGGCCCCCGGCTGTCTTGATTGGATGAGTGAACCCATCGCACGTCTGTGTCCGAGTCTTTCTTCAATCAAACATTTCACCAAACGTGGCACGATGAGAATGCCGTTGCCGCCGTCACCGCCAGCTCTCGGCGGGAGCCCTGCGTAGCGGAGTAAGACAAGAGACGAGTCACGGAAGACGGAGAGACCGGGGGCGCCGGCGTTCCTGGGGGGAGCAGGCTCCGGAGAACGTGCTCAGCGCCCCCCCTCACCCAGCCGTCCTCACGGGGAGGCTTCATCCTCAGAGCCCGCCGATCGCAGGATCCTTAACTGCAGATATTCGCAACGGCAGTAAAAAGTGTGGGAGGTGTCGGGGTCAGGACTTGCTGGAGGGGACACACCTTAGGGTCCAGCTGCTGCATGTCCTGGGGCACCTGTGCAGCTGGGGGCGCACTCGTCCCCCAGACTGAGACGGGCGGGCAGGAGCATCGCGGCCCCCGGGCGTGCGCTGAGCTCGGATCCACTAGGGGCAGCGCTGCGGGCCCCGGCCAGTTGGGTGCAGCGGCTGCCACCGTCCGCCCCCGTGGGTCTTCCCCACCCCCCCGCTGAGCTGCGTGACCCGCTGGGTAAGTAAGGCCAGAGGTGCCAGGCTCGGGCCAAGATCCGGGCTCCAGCCACGAGGGCCGTGGGGGGCCGGACCGGGGGCCCCTCCAGCGGCCTGGGATGGCGTCCATGCAGGGCGCGGTCACCTTGCTTTCCCGCTCTTCTAACGAAAGCACCTGTTAAGCACGGGGGCGGGGGGGCGGCTGGGGCCTCGCTTTGGTCGAAAGGACTTTCCCGGGCCTGACCGGCGCCCCACCCCGGTGGCCCGCCCCTGCGGCCCACAGCCTGTCTGCTGCTGTGGGAGTGGGCTCGCGCGGGCACGGGGTGCGCCCGCCTGACGCCTCCGCCCCCGCCCAGGTACTCCTTCCAGGACGAGGAGGACATGTTCATGGTGGTCGACCTGCTGCCGGGCGGGGACCTGCGCTACCACCTGCAGCAGAGCGTGCGCTTCTCCGAGGGCGCCGTGAAGCTCTACCTGTGCGAGCTGGCGCTGGCCCTGGACTACCTGCGGCGGCACCACATCATCCACAGGTAGGCGGCTGGGGTGCCTGGCGCCGTCTGGGGCGAGAGGGTGGCTGTGGGCGGGGCTAGGCTGCAGTGTGCGCCAGCGAGGGGCCATTTCCCACCTGTGTGGCTGTGTGTGGCCCTGCGTGGCTGTGTGTGG